GTCCCCCAGCTTCCTAATGAGAATGGGGTGAGAGACAGTATCAAAAGCCTTCCTGAAGTCTAGGAAAACTATATCCACTGCCACCCCTGCATCCAATGATTTAGTGACCTGGTCGTAAAAGGCCACCAGGTTGGTCTGACAGGACCTGCCGCTGATGAACCCGTGCTGGTTGCCCCTGAGCATGCAGTTCCCTGCTGGCCCCTCCTGGATGCGTGCCAGAATAATTTTCTCGAACAGCTTGCCCAGGATTGAGGTAAGGCTGACTGGCCTGTAGTTTTGTTTGCAGAAGAGAAGAGTGAGGAGAGATTTGAGCAGGGGGCTGGACTGGGTGATCTCATGAGGTCCCTTCCAGCCCTATTTACTTTTCCCCATGAGCCTATGATCTATAGCTTGTCCAGTTGCCCAATTTAAGCTCCTGCTAGGGTCAACTTCAGGAGGGCTCTGCCTGGGTGCATGGTTCTCATTGCAAAGGTGGTGTCTATCTCTTTCCCTTCTGCAGCCAAAGGCACCTATTACAGCACCCTGCAATGCAGGAACAACCACGGCCACTGCCGGAGGCTCTGCTTCCATGGGGAACAGTGGATCGGCAACTGCAATGGTAGGCATCAACACTGCTGCAAATGAAAGACGAAGCTGAGATAAAGAACCACCAGATCCCAAAGAGGAAGGAGACCAAACCAGACCTGCCAAGACAGACCACAGCAAAAAGGGGCAATTCCCAGGCTGGACACAAGCAGCACTTTTACAGCAGGGTCATTCCACTGTAAATAAAAGTTTTGCTTTTATAAGTCCCCCGGCTCGGTAGCTGAACTGCTTTTTCTTAGGGACATCGGAAGGTGGAAATTTCTATCAGAAGTTTAGCGCTGGAGCACTGGGTCATATAGCTGCGTTTAGTAATAGGTAAAGACTTTTTGCTTCTAACTTTTCAGTCTGATAATGATAATAGACGCCCCAAACAACTATCTGACATCAGCCCTTCCAGCCATTAATCGAAAAGCAGTCTCTGTCTCAGAGATCTCACAATCTCTGTATAGATGAGACAGTCATAGGAGGAAAAGCAAGAAGTGGAGGGAAGAGAAGGTAAACGCTGAAAGAGCACTGATTTTAAGAGAATCAGCTGAATAAGTACAGGACGTCCTCAGTTATTTGAAGCCGCAGTCATCCAAATGGCAGGTTTCTTCTACTAGCTTGCAACTACCGGCATTGCACAATTAACTGTTTTCCTTTAAACTTTGTTGAATACAGAGCTGTATATCTGCTCAGAAGTTCGATGCAATGGCTTGTAGCCTTCGGTACTGTGTTAGAAACTGTTCTCTTTTTTAAGAGAGAATATCTGTACTGTCGAGCCTAGGATGCCTCGTGTGTTAACATTACTCACAAGATGCTGCAAACAATTCGGTGACCCAAATGGCATTTTGGCGGCTGCTTTCCAAACGGGTTCAGATTACTCAGGATGTAGCTGTATCTCACAGACTGTTCTGCTAAATGGCTCCTCCCTTTTGGTTTTATTGTGTTTCGGGGTTTTGCAATGCCCAGCCTTGGATCGATCAATCATCTTAACGACAGGATGCAGGAGTTGCAGAATGATGAAAAGAAAACATTTTCAAATATTTTTCTTTCCATACTTGAAAAAGCTCTTCTTATTAAATGTTTAGTTTTAAAAATAAATGATTGATTTTCTTTAAAGGTGCAGGAGCCCAGTCATAGATCCATAGATTGTAAAGGGCTGGAAGGGACCTCACAAGATCGTCGGGTCCAATGACTCGTAATGAAATGATGAGTTAGCACCACCATTACATCTCAGCATTGGATAATCACATTCTTGAAACCAGTGGTGATTTTGAGTGTGAGGACACAAGAGAAAGATCCATGCAGATTTTAGGGTGAATGCTATATTCTGCAAGCAACTGATTTTTGTGCAAATCAAAGCTCAGTCAACACCATCAACAGAATTTGCCTTCAAATATAAAAAAACTATTAAAAGAGGGGAAAAAAAACATTATTATAGAATACGTGTAGAGAAGAAAAATGAAGTTCAGGTGCTTAATATGCTGATGCAAAGCCTAATCTAATCCCCTATGGGAACCAGAAATAAAACCTCTTCATTGACTTCACTGAGAACAGGCTCAGGGGCGTGACCGTTATACTATTTTTCAACACTAGATGGGGATTGTAGACCACTTTCCCAACTTTGCCGGAGCAGCAAGCAAAAATGAAGACATGCTGTCTCGACCCCGACATTTTTTGCTATTTGTTTAGGCTTCCTGTTGATGAGCTGCACTGACATTCGGTGCTCGCCATCACTTTGCATTTTCACAGCCTGTGCCGACATAGACCGCTTATTAATAAGGATGGGTGGCACACGGCGATGTAATCATCTGATGAAGCAAACTGATGCTTAGGATAGCTTATGCTATATACTTCTTGATTTAGTCTATAAGGTGCAAACCTACCCTGCCTGATACACAGTGGAGCAGAAATCTGGTGAACTTTTCCAATGCAAGGCTGTTAGCTCCACGTGCTCAGAAAGTGAGTCGGTGAAATGAAAACATGACATTGGCCTTGAAATGAGGAGTTATTTTAAATAGTTTGGGGACTGTTGTGACTTTTGCTGCCTGGTCTCTGAGCTGCACACTGCATTCAGGTCGTCTCTTCCCTGCAGCTGTAAGATCTAGAAACTTTTTGAAATTAAATGAAAGCTGAGGTTTTCCCACAACAGCACTCTGGGAGCTGGGGCTTCCAGGAAGATGCAATATGATGGGGCCCGTGATGCAATGGCAAGAGGCAGCAGCCCTGCTTTCTGGATTCACAAACCTAGTGGGAATTTTTGACTGTTTCTCCTGCAACTGGAGTTTTGGTTCTGCTGCAAGGATGCTTCAAATGAATGAAAAACTGGGACCTGGGTTCGCAGCTGCGACGGACCAGTAAAGCACTACTGATCTCAATACAACTGGGCTGAAATATTGGTGCAATTCAGCTGAAAGGCAACCGGTGTGGAGAGCTGCACGCTGTGGGTAAAGATGGCAGAACCGGTCCCCGGGAAGGGACAGTGTTTTCCTACAGTGGCATGCGGGCTGTGGAAGGAAACCGGGACAGAGGAAACAGCCTGAACAACAGCGACAATATCCTCGCTCGGCATGCATCAGGCTGTGGGTGCACATGACAGTGTCCCCATTGCTCAGCATTTTGGCTGGACAGAGCACTAGACCTGTCCCCGAAGGGGGGATTTTCCTGGCCCTATACGCCAGAGGAAAACAGCATGCCTCCAGTGACTTAGCTCTTCACCTGCACAACCCCCATTATTATATGCCAGGGGAGCTGCTGGGCTACAAGAGCCTCCTTTGAAAATCCCAAGCTTCTTCCAGCTCCAGCGTGCAAACAAAGTGCGTGGAAGCTCCTTCTCAGGGCAGCGGCCTCCCCTGCCCGAGGACGTGCTTCTCTTTGGGTTGGCCTGGGGTCAGGCACCCCTGGGGCTCATCCCCATCACCCATCCCATCAAGCTGATAAGCCACCCCTTGATAACGGGAGGTGCCAGAAAGAGCCTCTGGTTTCCCACCTTTTTGAAGTCTGCCCGGTGACGTTTTGCAGAGCTTTGTCGCTCTGCCAAAGTAACCAAGCTCCAGTTCAGCCTTTTCGCCCCCACTTCCCCTCAGCACCCCCCCCTCCCCTCTTCCTCCCGTTTCACTGAGCATGCACCTCTGTACAGGGCTGATATGGGCTTTGGGGTCCCACAAATTATGTCATCTGTTTTTGGTCCAGCCGAGAAGAAGGCGCTGCCGGAGATGGCCCCGGGTGAGATGCGTCTGCCTCTACCCAGCCTGGCGCCGGCCGCAGCAGCAAGCCTTCCTTTCACAGCCCCTTCTGCACCTTATCACTGGAGAGATGACATCTTCGGGGGCGCTGTGCAGGCCGGCATGGCTGGGAGACAGGCTACGGGATTTCTGGAGGCCGCTGCTGGGAACCCATGAATGTGCATGTGTTCACGGGAGCCAGTTCCTGGCACGAAACAAGCAGGGAGATGACGTCCAGCAGGACAGAGCCAACAGCCAGACAGCATGAAAGGGAAGCTGGCTGCATGCTACAGCCAAGCCATAGTCAACAGTCTCCATCAATAGGCTCAGTATTCAAGTCAGTCTGCTCCTGTTAAAGCCGCTGAGAGCTTAACTGCTGGTATCAATGGCCAGAGCTTCATACTTATGAAAGACTCAGTGCAAGGTGAAGCAGTAACCCAGGAAGGGTTAATGGATCCCAGCCTATCGCAGGGCTCAGGAGAGTGCAGAAGCAGGAGGAAGCCAGGTTGCATGATATGGCATGGCATGGCATGGCATGGCATGGCATGTTCTGGTATGGTGTGGCATGTTCTCCTCCCTTGGGAATAGAGGCAAAACGTGTGGGGTGTGACTAGCCAGACGGCTTCCATGGAAACTGCCATGAGATGGATAGTATGGGTCTGAGTTCATGAGATGCTGCGGGGAAAAGACCCAACAACATGCCTACTTCTTTTGGAAATGTTTTTTTTTCTTATCACAAATAATGCCCAACATCATCCTCCCCCTACGTCTTCCTTCCCTACCCACATATCTGCAAAAACAGGGTGCTGGTCACAAACATTTTGGACACCGCCAGAGATGAACAGGAGTTTCTGTCTCCTGGTGCACCACAGCCATGTGGTGGCCATGCTGCACTGCTTCCCTCACCAAGGTGGGACACCCTGGTGCACGGTGGGGGATGAAGTCCAACCAGGTAGCTGGACGGAGGAAAATGGGAGTTTGAGGCATGGAGACAATGACTTCTAGAGGAGGGATGGCTGTGATGATTTGGCACTGAAATAGCACTGTTCAGGGCTGAAAAATGTTGGGGCCCAATTCTGCTCCACTTCATAGGCACATAAGTGATCTTAGGCACCCAAGTGTGCTTCTCTTCCACCCTGCTTGAGTCCCTGAAAAACTGTTTGCCAAAGGCTGGGCGGGTGCCCCTCTTCCTTGCAGCCCATATACAACTCAAGCTAAAGCATGTGTTAAAAAATAGATGCACTGATGGATATTCAAGGACTCGAGCAGGGTGGCATACAATCAAGTTTTTAGACTCGTGGGGAATTTTGTCATTGGAAACAATGGTGCCCTGGGAGGTTCAGGCACCTCTCCGATCCAATATTACCACTGGCAGCAATGCGACACTCATCTTGTGTCATCTAGCCTTTGTGCTGCACTGCAAACGCAGCACCGACGTGGATTTCTCAGCAGCGCAACTTATGAAAAAATAACCACAGAGCCAGATCTATCCTGTCCTTGGCTTGACAGCAAGGACAGATCGGTTGAATATGGTGGGGATAATGAATTATACAGGAACTTCTCCTGTGCATAAATAAATGACTTCACTGCCCAGGCCTGTCCTTCTGGCCTCTTTCAGCTACTCACCATGGACCCCTAACAAAAATGTAGCAACAAGACCCGTTTCTCCAGGGATGAAATGCGCAGCGTGGGAGGCATCCAATGCAAACATGGTAGAAAACAGCTGCAGGTTTGCTCCGTGAGATCTCAGCCTGGCTAGGAGTTACTTGCTGCCGGTCCTTCCGATGGGTTTTTTGCATGTTAACCTATACAGCCGGAAGCAAGGGTAGGTCCCTGGAGGACCAAACCCCTCACGTGTCACCAGAAGACGGAGGCACTGAGCACATGTCAAGAGCAAAGTCTTCAATCACCCCATCCCCCTTTTCCAGCTCCTGGGTTGGGGCCATTCAGTGAGATTCAGAAATGGCATAAGACAGGGTGGTATGGAGGCATGGAGCGCA